GACCCTCCTTACATTTTCCCCGGCCGCAGCATGAACTACTACGGTACGAGAGGGGGCCACGACCTGGTCTTTCACACGGAGCTGCGAGACGCACTCTTCGCGAGCGGCCTGCCCTTCGTCGTCAGCGTCAACGACGTGCCCGAGGCCCGGGAGCTCTACAGCGGGGCCGACTCCATCACAAGCCTGTGCTCGGGCAAGAACAGTTCCAAGCCCGAGCTGCTCGTAGTGCACCGGGGCAATCCTGTTGCCAGCACAGGAATGGGTGAAGCAATCCTGTTGCCACAGCAGGATTGAAGGGGCAATCCTGTGCTCACGACAGGATTGACGGCAGGGCGAGTGAATGGTGAAAAAGACACTCCGTCAGCGTGCTGGCGAGAAGCAGGACGCTGACAGACCTTCGGCGCTGGCCCGGTGATGGCAATCCTGCGCCCGCGCCAGGATTGAGTGGGGCAATCCTGTGCCCACGCCAGGATTGACGGCTGGGTGTGTGAATGGTGAAAAAAAACACTCTGTCAGCGATGCTGCGAGGACGGCATCGCTGACAGACATTCGGCGCTGGCCCGGTGATGGGTTTTCGGGCAAAATACCGAAGTCGGAATTCCGACCTCGGTGTAGAGCGAAGTCGGAATTCCGACCTCGGTGTGGTGCAGGCTCGGCAGGCTGGAGGCTTCTATGCCGGGCAGGTGGTGCGGCCGGGAGGCTTCTATGCCAGGCAGGTGGCGCGGCAGGAATGTGGCGCGCTAGGTATCGAAGCCTCCGATGCCGGGCAGGAATGTGATGCTCGAAAACATAAGTGCCAGAGTCAGCTTCGGTGAGTCAGCTTCGGTGAGTCAGCTTCGGTGAGTCAGCTTCGGGCGCGGTGAAGACAGAGCACGCTTCTTTGCAGAGCACGCTCCTTTGCAGAGAACGCTTCTTTGCAGAGCACGCTTCTTTGCAGAGCACTCTCCTCTGCGCAGCACGCTTCTTTGCAGAGCACGCTTCTTTGCAGAGCACGCTTCTTTGCAGAGCACTCTCCTCTGCACAGCACGCTTCTTTGCAAAGCACGCTTCTTTGCAGAGCACGCTTCTTTGCAGAGCACGCTTCTTTGCAGAGCACTCTCCTCTGCGCAGTGCAGAGCACGCTCCTTTGCAGAGCACGCTTCTTTGCAGAGCACGCTTCTTTGCAGAGCACGCTTCTTTGCAGAGCACTCTCCTCTGCACAGCACGCTTCTTTGCAGAGCACGCTTCTTTGCAGAGCACGCTTCTTTGCAGAGCACTCTCTTTTGCAGAGCACGCTTCTTTGCAGAGCACGCTTCTTTGCAGAGCACGCTTCTTTGCAGAGCACTCTCCTTTGCAGAGCACTCTCCTTTGCAGAGCACGCTTCTTTGCAGAGCACGCTCCTTTGCAGAGCACGCTTCTTTGCAGAGCACGCTCCTTTGCAGAGCAGGCCAAGCTCTCTCTTTAGAGGGCGTTTCCCAAATGGATTCTATTCTACCTGAGAGGCTCCTAGCACTCGTCCGTCCAGGAAATGACCTCGTCCTGCGAAGGATTCAAAGTCTAAAACGCTGCGTACAGGCGTGTGGCTGCAAAATAATGACCCCTAGATATGCGCCGCAATTTGGCTCCAGGTTGCATTTCAAGCGATGTCAAGCTTTGCCAAAGGAAACCCCCTTTCCCTTTTTTTCGGGGACCCCTTTTTTTGGGACCCCTTGTTTTCTGTTTTTTTGTTTTTTTCTTAGCCCTGCAAAGGTTGGCTCGCTTGAAATGCAACCTGGAGCCAAATTGCAAGCATATCTAGGGGTCATTATTTTGCAGCCACACGCCTGCGCGCAGCGTTTTAGACTTCGAATCCTTCGCAGGACGAGGTCATTTCCTGGACGGACGAGTGCTAGGAGCCTCTCAGGTAGAATAGAATAGAATCCATTTGGGAAACGCCCTCTAAAGAGAGAGGGTGCGGCAGGCCTTTGCGGGCAGCGTGCAAACTCTGCAGGCGCTGTGCGGCGACTGCCACAGCGAGAAGACGCTGAGAGAGAGCACGCAGCCCACCAGCCTGGAGAGCCGCGTGGCCCCGGAGTCATGGAGTACGCCCGGAGCCCCAAGCTGCCCCCTCTGGTTTTTGAGGCGCAGGCGTGCCACAAGGACGCTCTGTACGTCGGCGTGGACGTGGTGCGCCTGCAGCGGCGCAACGGGCTGGCCAACGCCCCTGCCCATCCTGTGCCCGGCGGACGGCGTTGAGCCCGTGGACGGCGTGCTGCCGGACCTGGGCTTTGTGGAGGGCTGCTGCGACGCGAGGCAGTCCTGCCTCAATCTGTTGCCGTACGTGGGGCCCGGCTGGTACCCGAAGGTTTCGCTGGCCGCGATGCTGGACCTGGGCGTCTGCCGCTAAGACCACATTGTGTTGGGCATCTCCGAGCGGAGCCGGGCGGCGACGCTGCGGCGCGCGCTGGAGCGGATGGACGCCGCCTGGCCCGAGGGCGAGGAGCGCATGGCCAAGCTCAGCGTGAACGCGATGATAGGCCTGTGGGCGCGCAGCACGGAGGTGGTCTACAGCGTGCGCAGCAGCAGCAGCGAGCTGGACGGCGCGGGCGCGGACTTCTCTCAGGCCTTCGCCTACGAGGGGGCGGTCCTGGGCTTTGAGCGCTGCATGGTGGCCAAGGCCCGGCGCAGGTCCTGCTGCGGGCGCTGGACCGCGTAGAAGAGACGAAGCCGTTGCTGGGCAGCAGCAGGGCGCCGCGCATGGAGGCGGAGCGCCCCAAACAACGGAGGTGGAACGGGGTGGACGACCCTGTGGGCCACTGCCTGGCGGGCAACTCCCTGCTGCTCACGGGCCTGCCGGGCACCGGAAAGACGCACCTGGCCCGGACGATTGTGGCGAGGCTGCGAGAGCAGGGCAAGGCGGTGCACCTGGTGTCCAAGACGCACTGCTCCGCGCAGAACCTGGGCCTGGGGGCGCAGACGGCCGACCACTGGGTGCGCAGGTACGTGCGCGGCGGCAGCGCGCAAAAGCTGGACTGGCTGGTGGTGGAGGAGATCACGCCGCTGGACATGGCGCTCTGGGCGGACCTGGCCTGCGTGGGGCTGAACGCCGACGTGAAGTTCCTGCTGCTGGGAGACTTCCGGCAGTTGCCGGCCGTGCTGGACTCCTGGGCCGGGCGGCCCATCAGCGCGCCGTTGGAGCACAGCCAGATCCGCGACCTGGCCGGCGGGCACAGGCACGAGCTCACGGAGAACATGCGCTCCGACCCCGGCATCTTCAACTTCGTGAAGTGGCTGCGGGTCGGCGAGGAGGCGTGCCCCACGCTGGAGCAGGCCAAGGCGAGGCTGAAGGAGCTCTACCCCTCCAAGCCCGGGTGGCCGGACACCACGCTGGTCATCAGCCACAGCAAGCGCATGGCCGTGAACGCAGCGGCGAACCGGGCCCTGGCGCCGGAGGCCTCAAAGCTCCTAGAGCTGGAGACGCAGGTCATCCACATAGATTTGGGGTGTTGTCAAACAACCAATGGGTGTACTGCAACACAAAACAGCCCGCAGAGCATGAGGGTGTGGCCGGGGCTGCGCCTCATCGGGGCCGGCGGGAAGATACCCAAGGGGGTCTTTGTGGCCGTGGCGGAAGTGGAGCAGGACGGAGTGAGGCTGGAAGAACCAGGAGCTGCTGCGGGCCACCCGGCCGAGCCACGCAGTGACCTACGCCAGCTGCCAGGGCCTCACCCTCCACAACCGCGTCCGCCTGGACCTGGAGTCATGCCACCTCACGCTGCGCCACCTGTACGTGGGCGCAGGCCGTGGAGGAGACGGCGGCCGTGGCTGCGGAGGAGGGCGAGGTTGCCGTTGCCGCCGAGGGCGTGGGCGGAGCCTTCGGGGCTGCCCTGGCGCCCACCGCGGGCGAGGTTGCTGGAACGCTGGCTGGCGCGGGAGTCGGCGCAGCTGCAACGGCTGGGCTGGCCGTTGGGCTTGCAGGCGGCGCAGCCTACCGCCAACAACATGAACGACGCCACTCAGCCTCAGCACTTCACGCTGCGCGCCGGCAGCAGCCGGCAGCCCCGCAAGCAGCCGCGCCTCCTCTCAGTCTGGCTTCCGTGTTCAGGCGCAGTCCAACACGCCGCGCCCCTTCTCCTGGGGCCTGAACCCCGTGGCCCTGCCCCAGTCTCAGCCAAGCTTGCGGGCGAGGGTGCTCTGCAAAGAAGCGTGCTCTGCAAAGGAGGGTGCTCTGCAAAGGAGCGTGCTCTGCAAAGAAAGTGCTCTGCAAAGGAGCGTGCTCTGCAAAGGAGAGTGCTCTGCAAAGAAGCGTGCTCTGCAAAGGAGAGTGCTCTGCAAAGGAGAGTGCTCTGCAAAGGAGCGTGCTCTGCAAAGGAGAGTGCTCTGCAAAGGAGAGTGCTCTGCAAAGGAGAGTGCTCTGCAAAGGAGAGTGCTCTGCAAAGGAGTGCCCTCCAGGTTATAGCAAATGTACGTTGCAACAACTGGTGGCGGCAGACAAGGCGGTTTGGACGAAGCTCATTGAAGATTGCGTGAAGCCGCGCCGCAACGAAGCCGGCGTGCTGGAGTTGGACACAGCTTTGGCCCACGCCTTGGAATCCTATGAAGTCAGCTTTCTGTTGCTACCCATGGCCAAACAAAAGGAGTTGCCAAAGCGGCCTGAGAAGCGTCAGACCGCGCCCAAGGAGCCAGCGTCCGGGAAAGGCAAGGGATCACGATTCCAGCCTTATGGCAAGGGCAAGGGATCCGCTGGAAAGAAAGGCAAAAGCATGGAGATTCGCGTTCCCAAGGACATCCGCGACGCCGGTGGGGTCGCATTTTTGCCTACAGGTGAAGCCATCTGTTTCAACTACAATTTGAACGGTTGCGACCAAGCAGCAGATGGAGCGTCGCGCAGTCGAGGTTTGCACGTTTGTGCCAAGTGCTTCAAGGCGCGGCAACTGACTAATCGAAGCAAGCGCGAGACGGCTTAACCGCGACAACGGGGAGGCCATTGATGATGATGCCTCGGAGGCAGACCTTGTGAACAATGTACAAATTCCTGACGTGATGGATGCAGATTTGACCGTTGATTATCCGGATGGTCTTGAGCCAGCGCCGGCTGGTCCACAGCCGCCCGATTCAAGTGATTTAGTTTCACATGTTCCTTTTCTGGTGCAGCAGCCGGTGGCCCGCAAGATACCAGAATGTGAGCAGAGTAGAACTTCTTGGGTGCAATGTACGAATCCATTCATACTTGAAGTGTTCGCAGGCTCAGGGAGAGTCACCGCGTGCTTGCGAGCCGCAGGGTTAACCAACTGCTTTGGTGTCGATCATAAATTGGTTAACCCTGTAGGTGCTGTCCGGCTTGCCGATTTGACTACGAAGGAAGGGCAACAGCTGTGCATGAAATGGGTTAAAAGCCTTTTGTGTGCGGGAATTTTTGCCGCACCTCCTTGTGGCACTGCCAGCCGTGCAAGGGAGATCCCCTTGAAAGGCCGCCAGGGTGCTGGACCGCAGCCGTTGCGGTCAACAAAGTTCCCAAATGGCATCCCGGGGGTACGCAAATTTTTGAAGCCTAGAGTGAGTGCAGCAAACAAATTATATGAATTCGTTACAGACCTGGCGATGCAGTGCTTGTCCAACCAGCAGCTTGTGTGCATTGAAAACCCACGTTCGTCTTTATATTGGAGAACGTCCTTTTTCAAACAAATCTCCCATGAAATGCGGTTTGTTGCTCACCAAGCCTGTGCTTACGGCAGTGAACGGCCGAAATGGACGGCGCTGGCACATAATCATGATGCATTTGAGCAGATTTGCCAAGCTTGCCCAGGTGTTTCCACCTCACACGTTCACAAGCCGTGGGGCGAAGCAATAGTGGATGGAAAACAGGTTTTTGCTACCGCTATGGAGGCCGCATATCCTTGGCCCTTGGCAGCTCAGATCGCAAGAGCATATGCATGTGCTTTGCTAGCCCGTGGTTGGCATCCGCCTGCCCAGCAGCTGCTTGACCAGCAGTACGACACATCGCTGATCATGATGCGGGCTACTTCCGGATTCCAGCCGAAAGCTTCTAAGCTGCCCCCTCTGGTGCCTGAACACAAAATGACAATCTCCGTGCATGCACCGCTCGAGGAGTTGCCTTGCGCCCCAATGGAACGCATCGAGAAACCTTGGACTCCATCGCATAACATGCTCACGGTGCCTGAGAGCAGCCAGTTGCTGCGCACCAAGCCATTGCGGTTTATGGGGGGTTTGAAGTTTCATTGGGGGGTGTTTCTGAGGCAGAGTCTGTGACCAACCGTGTGCCCAGGGCGGAGTCGGTCTGGGGTGTGCCGTGGTCAGAGGATGAGTTTGTAACGCAAGCCGTGAGGGCTGGGCACCCCAAAGCCTTTTCGCATTGTCTTCCCAGACCTTTGCAAGATGCTTGTGATACCTTATGCTCAACACCTCCTGCACACCTTGCTCAGAAACGAACCGTTTGGTTCAAGTATTGGGCGGATCAAGCTAGGGTTCTAGCACCGGCAGAATCCCTGCTTAAAACAAAAATGGACCCGGAATTGGCCGGACTTTTGAAACCTAAGCGGCTGCTTTTGTGGAAGGCTTTGCTTGAAGCTCATGGATACCCAGACATGGGGGTTTGTGATGAGATGATGCGCGGGGTGTCGCTCACGGATGAAGTGCCTATGACAGGGTTGTTTGAAGCCTCTTTCAAACCGGCAGAGCGCACCCTTGAGTCTTTGTCCGAGGCGGCAGGCGCCAGCAATGTGGCAATCTTCAACAGCACGCGTTCGTCAGGTTCGCCAGAGCTCGACGCCGAGGTGTACAGGAAAACCCAAGTGGAACTAGACGAAGGCTGGATCACGGGCCCTTACGAGCTAGGGGAGTTAGAGGTGGGGGCCGTGCTAAATCGCAGATTCGGACTTCAGCAGGCCAACAAGGTGAGGTTGATTGACAACTTCAGTGGCAGTGGAGTGAACAGCACTGTGCAAGTGTGCGAATCACCCAAACCTCATACCACAGATGTGGTGGCGGCTGTGTGTTCGCGTTTGCTGCAAAACTGTGATAGCGCAACTGATGTGCTGGGTGCCGCCTACGATCTGAAGTCCGCATACCGTCAGGTAGGACTTCTGCCTTGTGCTAGGAAGTTTGCTTACATTGCCGTCTATAACCCTGATCTTAAAAAGCCTGAGGTTTACCGACTAGTTGCGGTGCCATTCGGTGCGTCCCGTGCGGTACACGCGTTTTTGCGCGTCTCACATTCCATTTGGTGGTTGGGGGCGCGTGCTCTGAGTTTGGTGTGGACGAACTTCTTCGACGACTTCATCACCTTTTGCAGATCGCCTGAAGCTGTGAGCACTAGTCAGTGTGTTGGGTTGGGGTTATGCCGACTCTGGCGAAAAAGCTGGACGATTTGACACCTGCTTCCAGGCTCTGGGAATTCAAGTTGACTTGAGCGGTTTCAGGAAGGGCGTGATCCTTTTCGATAATACAGCCAAACGCAAGATTGAGCTTTGTGGAGAAATAGATTCCATCTTAGCAGATGCCACCCTCAAGCAACCACATGCTTTGAAGTTGCCTGGACGTATGCAATTCGCCGATGGTCAGCCTTTTGGGCGGGCCAGCAGGTTGTGCCTCAGGGAAGTGAGGGCGCACGCCTTCTCTGGCAGCGGTGAACTTGTAGGTCCTCGGTTGTCATTGGCGCTTCGGAGATTCAGAGATCAGTTGTCCCGTGGACAGCCCAGGCAGTTGTTGTGTACCTTTGGGGACCCGTGGTACATTTTCACAGATGCTTCGAGAAGGAACGCCCGGAGTGGATGTGTGGCTTGGGGGGGATACTATATAACCCCTCAGGTGAAGGCATTGAGTTTTTCTCCGCCTGTCTCTCCCATGAAGAGGTTTGTGCACTTGGCGGTGATGTGAAGAAAACCATCATTTTCGAAGCTGAGCTTTTGGCACTCATTGTCGCCATTCATTTGTGGTCCAGTACCTTGGAAGGCCAGCTAAGTGTATTTTATGTCGACAACAACTCGGCGCGAGATGTGGCAGTGTCGGGTAACGCCCGGTCCGAAACTGGTTCGGCATTGGTTTCCATCCTTCTGAAAATTGAGGATAGTATTTTTTTTTTCCTTGGTACGCAAGAGTGGCCTCCCCGTCAAACCCAGCTGACAGACTTTCCAGAGGTTCGACCGAGCATCTGAAAGTGCTTGGGTTGAAAGAGGCATGCTGTAAAAGTGTATTTGAGAAAATCATTCAACAAGTCGGATAAGATGGGGATTGCATGTAAATAAATGTGAATACTTGCCACGCTGAACGTGTGCCAGCCTACACTGCAGTATTGCAAAACCTTGGCAGTGTGCACTATGACGCGTGCGACCTGTCAGTGTGGATCTGCATGGATCGCTTCGTGCAAAGCGACTTTCACCTACCCCCGTTTGCATTAGAAAAGGAGAGTGTGCGCTTCTTAGTGCCGGCGGTTAGCAAGTCTGGTGAATGCTGTGTCGTGTGTGTTGGGGGGGGGGTTTGGCTCAAGACCTAAGCAAGTTGTCAAAGCTTGATAACGCTTTAGGGAAGAGCCAACCCCCCCCTCCTTGTTTGTGAAATGTGTATTTCACAAACACACACGGTTGTGGAAACAATGCTCAAACTCGAAAACTTGAGTGTGCAACATTTGGCCCTAGGGTGTGGTGGGTGGGTTCTCTCGGTAATTTTGTAGATTGCCGATTGCTTTTTCCCGCCCGCCCGCCCCTGCATGTGTGCCATCCTGGCATGAGCGACCGCTCATTCTCTTCCATGCCTTTTTCAAGAAATTGCATGGGGATTGCATGTAAATAAATGTGAATACTTGCCACGCTGAACGTGTGCCAGCCTACACTGCAGTATTGCAAAACCTTGGCAGTGTGCACTATGACGTGTGCGACCTATCAGTGTGGATCTGCATGGATCGCTTCGTGCAAAGCGACTTTCACCTACCCCCCCGTTTGCATTAGAAAAGGAGAGTGTGCGCTTCTTAGTGCCGGCGGTTAGCAAGTCTGGTGAATGCTGTGTCGTGTGTGTTGGGGGGGGGGGTTTGGCTCAAGACCTAATCCCTTGTGTTTAGGGCGTGTTGTGAATCTACTTCCGCGGTGGCCGTTTTGCTCCCAGCCTTGACCCAAACTTGATCTGTTACATTTGAAACCCACCCACCCGCCCTGCATTGCCTTTTTTACAAGGCTCTGCAAAGGAAGTTGCAGAAGCTCTGCACTTCCATTCATGGTCTCCGGACCTCTAGGTCTCCGGATCGCCTACGGTCTCAGGACCACCAGGTCTCCGGACCGGCGTGGGCACGCCTGCCACGCCTTGCGCGCACTGCACGCACCTGCAAGGACACGCACTGTCTTGCCTTTAAGTTTCACGGGGGGTCAACGCACCTCCTGCTCCAGGCGCATCCGTGCCCTGGAAGCAGTACTGCTTTCAGCAATCCCGGTTAAAAGAACTGCGGCCGCTTCGGACTTGCTTTGTTCTTTTGGGTGGTCTGGTTTGGGTCCATGATAGGAGCAGTGCAACATGCCTTAACAATCAGAGGGATCGTCAAGGCAGCCTGGGCGAGCCAGTGTCAAATGACGTTGGGCGAACCAGTATCAAACGACGTTGGGCGAACCAGTATCAAACGACGTTGGGCGAGCCAGTGTCAACAGTCGTTGGGCGAGCCAGTATCAAAAGCCGTTGCTCCTACGTGCCCACTCGGCGCATCCTAAGTGCCCGCTCGGCACGTCCTAAGTGCCCGCTCGGCACGTCCGATCCTAAGTGCCCGCGCGGCACGTCCTAAGTGCCTGTTCGGCACTGCTGCCCCGTGCCTTAGGTGCACTGCGTACCCTAGCTGCAGTGCTACTTTCCAGCAACCCAAGATGCGCGCGGGTCGTTTTCAAGCTAGGAGCAGTGCGACAGGTCTCTAACGCTTTGGGTTTTCTGTCCCGAGTGTTTTATGACCTGTTGTGAATCTCATGCGCTGTGGCCATTTTATGCTCCTAGCATTCCTAGCCTTGAACTCATACTCCTTTGTTTCGATTGAAACCCACCCTCCCACCCTGCTTTGCTTTATTCAAGGCATTTGCTGATCAAGAGGCTGCAGACACTCTACACCTCTCAGCGAAAGCTTGGGCACGCTTGCCCTCGCTTCAGCTGTCTAGGGCCGTACCTGCGGTACGTCCTAATCAATTTCGGACCGCAGTCCGGAGATTTAGACGCAAACACGCATACCGCGCCGTGCATTCGCACTGCCTTCGCCAGGACACGCTTGTTTGGCCCCTTTTTCAAGTTTCATGGGGGATAATGCTGCTCCTTGCACTAGGTGCACCGCGTGCCCTAGCTGCAGTGCTGCTTTCCAGCAACCCGAGAAAAAGATGCGGTCAGCAGGGTTGTTTGGAGGGTCGTTTGGGTTCAAGCTAGGAGCAGTGCAACAGGTCTCTAACTGAAATGTTGCTTTGTGCTCGACGTACTTACCAAGACCCCCAGAGGCCAGCCATTTTGGGTCGTCCACTTTGAAAGAGCTCTCAAGCTCGCAGAGATTGGCTCGCGCTCCACCTGTTGCATCCCAGCTGAAAGGGTGCACTTGTGCTGATCGGAGCGGCTTGGACATTGGACGCCGCCGCCAGGCACTCTCTGTCAGCGGCCTCTTCTCTTTTCTCTGCGAGCTCAGCGCTGGGAGAGCCACGCCGAGATGCTTTTCAAAGCCTTCAGAAGACCCTTCGTGTGCCCTTGGATGCCGGAGGCAAAGGTAGCTTCAACTTTGCCTGGCGTCTTGGGCTGAGTTCAAACGAAACCTGATCCATAATGATTATGCTGCTGCCAGCCAAACATGATTAGCTCGTGTCCATTGTAGTTCCTTTTGCTTTGCTTTTTAGACTGGGTCTGGTTGGCGCTTGGGGATTGCTCAAAATGTGGGTGCATTCCGGCTGTTTGCGCACAGGGCCTTGTTGTCTTGGAACAGGGTGCCCCGAGGGCGCATCTCGCTCGCCACTTGCTGTTACGCACCGGTGCAATGCACACGGCGAGAATTGCAATCGATTCTGAACGGGCAATCAATGACAACAGGCAACCCTCACTTCTGCCGCGTGGAAAGCGCTCAAACAGTGTCCAAAGATGGCATCCAGATGCAAACCAAAGACGTTTGCACCATGAAATCGGAGGGATGATTGTGCGGAAAGCTCACTGTGCCAGATGCTGAGCACAGCTGTTTTTTGTGTTACATTGACAAGTTGCGCATTGACTCATTGATCGATTTTCAGTCAGGTGAGGATGGCTTGCACATTCCTAGCATTTGGAGGCACGATTGTCGATCTCGTGCTTGGGAATGCCGCACCTTGTTTTTGCACAGGTGTTTGGGGCGGCGACTTCGAGGTTTGATGGCTGACCAACGTCGAGTCGCCTTGCAGCTCGCTGGTAGGTTTGGGAGCCAGTGCCTTTTCGCCGCCAGGAGCGGTCTGTGTTGTGAGGGGTGGTGTTGACATTGATTTGCTTTGAGAGGAAACATCATTTGCGGGAAGCTTAGGCAAACAGCAGCATGCATGTAGGATGGCATGGGAAGCGCATGTGATGCACGTGGTGTTTTGTTTGTGGAGGCAAGGCAGACATCAATAGCGGAAGGTGAAGCGATGGTTATGACCGCAGGGCTTGAGGCGGGTCATTGACAGATGCTGATTCAAGTAGCCAGTGCCGCCACGCAGGTCAAAGAATGGATGCGGGCTTTGGAAGCTTGGCTGCCATGGGCCATGACGTATTGGCAGGATTTGCGGGCAGCTACAAGCAATATGTTTGTACGTAAGAGAGCATCGCGTTTCAGCAGTTATTTTGCTGAGGAGAACCGCTCACGAGAGATAAATTGTCGCAAGGCAAGACACCATGCATTGATATCTTTTGGTGGCAAAGCTGATGAGATTCCTGTATGTGAATGTGATGGGCAGTGAACTTGTAATTGACAGGAGAACTTTCGACGTGCATGGGCCGACCAGGCTTGGCAGTACCAACACATATGTCTGAATTGCACGATATGTGCAGAAGGCTGCTGACCACCAACTGGTGAATAATCTATTTGACAAAGTGTGCTGCAAACGAGTTGCCGGCCTGCAAGCTTGGTGTTCACAGGAGGTGGCTGTGCTGCACCTCATGGTTTTCCGCCTGGTTCAAATCCAGGTGAGAGGGAAAGGGGGGGGGTGTGCCGCCAGCCGACTTGAATGTGTCGCAGGCCACTGCTGCCCTGGCAACGGCCGGCAATAAATCATTGGATGCATGCTGCTTAGTTTCAAGATCACTTGCTAGTGGCTGTGTGCGGCAATGGTGCGCTGGAGACCAACCAACGGTGATGCAGGTGATGCAGGTGTTGCTGGCAAAGCTGGCGATGCTACCAATGTGTTTGCTTGCGATGCTTGTGCAGGTGCAATGATGCACAGGCTGTGGCCACGCTCGTGATGCTGGTGATGCGGGTGATGTTGGCGCTGGATGCCGCACAGCACAACGTTACCTAGGCAAAACACATCAAACAGCCTGACAGATCCCCTGCCACATTGTCTGAGATGGATTCCTTCCTGCCAGCATGGCGGCATCGCTCCTCTGACTCTTCCGACTGGCGAAGGATAATTTCTGCTTGCTGGTTTGGCCGTGACATCTTTGGCATACACGTTGCTTAGATCCGAGAACGTTCTTGAAGTCGCCATCCTGTATTCCTCCAGATTTGCACTTGACTCTGTGAGTGGGAGCTGTGCGGGAGAAGTCGCATTTATCAGCGTTGTTGTGTCACAAAACATGTACAACCAGCTCGAGCAGTGCGGGCCCGTTGTAGTTTTCGGTGCAGGTGTCTATATGCAGGACAGGTGGCCGAGTGGCTGCCTTTGCCTTTTGCTTGACTAGCCTAAGGCATACGTGACTCCAGAGACGAAAAGCGCACAGGGCTGAACATGTGAGATGACTTGTGACTTGCAAGTTGCTAAGAGTGCTAAGAGTGCTAAGAGTGCTAAGAGTGCCAAGGACGTGGAGGCGCAGCAGCGCTGGTCGGTGCCCCTGCCAGGGCAGCCTTGTGTTGGTAGGATTTGGTAGGTCATCATTTGCATCCAGAACTTGGAGGCGGTTGCTGGAGACATCCCAACCAATGCCGTTCCTCGTCCGCAAACACAGCGCAGCCACTTGAGTGATGAAATGCGCTCGCTTGCTAAATCCATTCTTTTTTGGTGCGCAAAAGCACTGTGTGTCTGTGTGCGTGCGTACGTGCGTGCGTGCGTGCGTGCTTGCGTGCGTGCCTGCGTGCCTGCCTGCCTGCCTGCCTGCCTGCCTGCCTGCCTGCCTGCCTGCCTGCCTGCCTGCCTGCCTGCCTGCCTGCCTGCCTGCCTGCCTGCCTGCCTGTCTGTCTGTCTGTCTGTCTGTCTGTCTGTCTGTCTGTCTGTCTGTCTGTCTGTCTGTCTGTCTGTCTATCTGTCTGTCTGTGGGGTGATTGACTCGCTGACCCAGAGACTTTAATGGATTTGTAGCCATCGCAGGTTCTTCGGGCTTCCACCGTGCTTCCGATCACCAACATCTGCCGGGAACGAGAGGTGGCACAATCTATTTTTTTGCAAGTGACTGTGCTACACACTTGTCCTTTGAAGGTTGCGGGCACAGCAGCGCCGAGCCAAAGGGCAAAGCCAAAGGGCAAAGCGGGGGGAGTGTGTCAACCAGCTGCCTCGTCGGCCCTTGTTTGATGCAGAGTTATTTGGTTTCATCCCATGCTGTTTCCAGATGAGCACCCACAAAGGAGGGTGCATTGTTTGGTCATTGAATGCTTGGCCACCCTACGAGGGTGCGTCTGCATGTTCCCTCGCATTTTCACATACTCCCAGGCATACTGCCAGGCTTGCGACCGAAGGGAAAGCTGATATGTGTCAGCCGCACAGGGGCTGTTTTTTGGCCACGGTTACAATTGGATTCAATGGGACTGTGCAGAGAGATTTGGAGCAGGGCATCAAATACAGAGCGACCCCGCATCGTAAAACACATCAATCGGAATGCGAGACACCGTTTGGCCGCGAATGGGACGAAACTCCGAGCATGTGCGGATTGGCTCCGAGGTGCTCCAGCAGCTGGCCCGTTTCTTCGCCGCAGAGGCGGCGAGGCAGAGGGGCAGAGGACGGCGGGTCTTTTTGACGAAGGTGATTGAAAAATCGCAGGGACTCATCTCGGCTCTACCTGGTGGTCCTGGCGAAGAATGCCTTCTTCAATGACTGACTACTGGCTGACGAGTTGTTGTTGGCCTCTTTAATCTTGAGCCGTACCCAGGTGGGTTTTGAAGGACCAGCATGGCAAAGCTCACCATGCAAGCTCTGCGGAGGCCAGCCGCAAGCTCCCCTCCACCTCTCCCAAGCGTTCCGCTGGCCCGTCTCATGCAGGCTGTTGGAGCAGCAATCGTGGAGAAGTATCGGCGCATTCTTCGAGAGGACGAGGCCATGCAGCCAAGCTCCGAAGCCAGTTGGCTGTGGGTCAAAAATAGGTACCCAAAATGTAACTCTGGTAAGTGGTAACATGGACCAAAACCTGGGGGGTGTTCTGGTGGTTGAATGTTGACCCACGCCCAGTTGAGTAGTCGCCACCGAGGTCGAAGACGGGAAGCCGCGCGTGATCGTCGGAACTGATCGTGGCTTGCCGAAGGGCGAACTGGTATAGTCTCCATGCTGCTTGCTGGAGGCACATGCCGCCGCGGGCAATACAAAGCTTGTGAAGAGGCCAGGCATGGGCCCCTCATGTGCGGCCTGTGGCGTAAATCCAGGCGCAAAGTCCGCCTTACTTGACGGATACCGGGCTGCTGGGTTCCGCGGAGGCGAGGCAGTGAGCGGAGTGCACGGACTCCGTCCAGTCCGGGGCAGGCGCTGGAGCTCTTGATTGCCGGGCTGCTGGCGATGGCGCCTGCTGGCATTGCGGATCTGGGCTCCTTGCTGCGCCGCGCCGCCACCTTGGCAGAGGCCTTGAAGACCCCTGTTCTCTTCATCTAGGAGCCGAACAGTTTCAGCTAAAAGCGCTTTGTTGCATCCATAGTTGCTCGGTGTGGAGCCTCAGATTCCTCCTCGATGATCTCTACGGTCAGCGTGCGCGTGCAACACATTTAGCGTAGCTTGACAATTCGTAGCCTGAATCTCTGGAAAGGCCTTTTGGCCTGAAAGTGATGTGCAGGTGCGGGTTGTGCCGGACCATCAGCAGTTGATCTTCGGCAGTCTGACCGAGGCTGGATATTCCACTGGCATCAAGTGCCATGGTGTGTCTCAGGTGACAGCAGGGAGTTGTGTTGCGACCCGAGCTGACGTTTCATGTCTCCATGGGCCCTCTTTTGCCGTTTGAGGCAGATCAGGCAGATCAAGGGAACTGGTGTGCCAGGGCCCTGGGCGTGGTGCAGCTGCGTTGCTGCTTGCAGCAACCCAGGCTGCGGCCTCCCCGTGCCTAGCCTGAGTGCTTTGAGTTGCAAATGTTCAACCTCACGAAGTTCACGCCCTTTCGCTGCCACACGAAATCGAGGTGCTGCCCGATCAGCAACGACTTCCGATATTTGCACGAGGCGGGCAATTGTGTTGCATCTTGCGCAAGAGTAGAGGCTGTGGAAGCAGGACACCTGCATACTACTTGCATGAGTGTTTCAAATGTATTCAAATGTGCATGCGTCAGAAGAGTAGAAGCTCCAAGATGCAACTCATCATGTCTTTCCTATGCAAGCCCGCGCAGCCAACTTGCGGGAAAAACTGGAAGCAGCCAAGAAAAGCCATCCAAACATCGTACCCTCCCACCGGAACCTGACACGGGGGGGGGGGGGGGGCGGGGTCCTCCAAGACCAATCTTTCTTTCAAAAGGACACTCTGTCAGATTCCAAATATGGTGGGAGGGCAATCAACCGCACAAGCTGCCTTGACCGCGTGCCAAGGTAGACTGAGGGCCCGGAGGCATGACCTTTAGGCAACTGCGCTTGGCGCATTCCGAGACCGAAACCATTCGCAACATCCTACCTGCCCATCCTGAGTGCTTCAGTTGTAGCTTTGTTTCTCACCCATCGCCTCTTTAAGCCTCTCTCAGGAAGCTTGTGGGACTGACAGCACTCGCAGCATCAGGCGTTTTACGCCAGATATATCGTGAAGGAGTGCCGGCTGGTTCAAAAGGCCGGCCCCCAAGTGAATCTTGTGTCGAGGCTGTTTGGCTGTCAGGGTAAAGCTCCAGTGCTGTGGTCCGGCGATGGCATATCCAAATGGATGCTCCGCGGCTCCACTTAGTTGCTGTGGGGCTTGCGTGAACTGTGGCTAAAAAAATATGCAGGTACCTCCTTGCTTTGGACTCGCTGGCCATGCCGCCCTGGAGCAATAACAAAATGTGATCTTTTGTGCTGAAGCGCAAGCGGTTCAAGCACGCAGACCCGAGGTCTTGCCAGTTTGTGGCCAGATTGGTGCTGCTGAGCCATCCCACGGACTTGCTGGAAAGGCTTTTTTCGGCTTTCGAGGCACGTCCAAGACTGCGGGGAATTAGGGTGCTGCGGGAACATGGCACCGCGCTTGGCAGGCCACGCAACTTCCGGGATCCATAGCGCCAAGACAAAAGAACGCGCTCGCCAACTGTCGGATTTGCTCACATGGTGCTCGTTGCACTGGTGTTGGCAACCTGGCCGACGGCACATGTTTGCCACAAACGCGCCATCATGTTCCTCCGATGGTGACAAACGAAGCGACAAAGCAGCTATGATCCATGCAGAAAGAAGTTGGCCGAGAGAGATCTTTCACTCCAATTCAGCGCACTTTTCTCCAATTTTCAGGCAAAGGCCCCGATGTGATTTGCTTCCATTGCCAACTTCCGGTGACACAGTTTTTGTTGGGAGGCGTAGCAATACACACCGTGGTGGCTGAACCAAACAAGTATGCGGTAAGAACGCGTGAGACAGGGAGGGCTGGAGGGGCCGATCAACGCCTGTTCCGCAGCTCAGGGTCCAGATCGGGTGACATTTTTGATAGATTCGGGAGGGGCTCCCAAGCTGAGCAGGCGCGGCGAGACTCGGACAGCTGCTCTTTGCTCCAGTCGTGGAGTTGCGTTGGCTTCTATCTTATGCATACATGTTTTTTTTTCTTCCTCTAGCCCTCGGTAGTCTTGGCAACTTGGCACATTGTTTGTAAATGAGTGGGGTTTCTGGGAAAGCTGAGCTACACCGTCACACGCCTTTTGCACAGGGCATGGCCTTCTTATTGTCCCGGGCTGTGCGCTCAGCTGGGCCCTCAGTCCTCAAAAGCGCCCCAAGCGCTCGCTGTCGCCTGCGAAGCTTTCCCCCAGGCCATCGCGCCTTTGGAGCGGAACATCAAGCCGGACGAGTTCATCTCCTTCAATGGTGGTGGACCTCAAACTTGTTTTTCCTTGCTGGTGCTCAGTATGAAGGAATGAACCTGGGGGTCCCTTTAAAGGAAAAACCACAAGATATGGTTTATTGGGGGTCATTCCATTTCTCGTTCCCTGCCTATCGCACTTTGGCAAGTTTCCCTTGGCGTTTTTCGAGCTTGAGCCTTCCCTTGACGCTTGTCCGTTTCATGTTGAAGTCGAGGACTCCACGGCGCATTCGAGATTCCGAACTACAGGACACGGGTCTGGGGCGTGCGTCGAAATGGGCGGACCAAACCTGGCCGGTTCTTCTTTGGGTTTCTGCTTGAAGCCTGGAAAAGGGAAGTCTGAAGAAACACGCAAAGCCAAAGGGAGACTCGGGAGACGGAGGACCAAGGTGACGTGTGTGAGACGTCAGGCGCGCTCCGTTCTGGAAGTACTTCTGGGCGCAGCACTTCGTGACAAGGCAGCACGTCTTCAACGCCCGCAGCTTAGCCAAGCCGTTTCGTGCGCTGTGCTTGGCCTTGGCAGCCCGAGATCAGGTGCACCACACTGGCTATATTGTGCTCTGCGTGTTCTTCTGGTGGCCTATGCCTCGGTTTCCTTTTTCCTTCGGGTGTGGGGCAGTGGCATCGCGAGGACTGGAGCTTTCTCGACCGCGCCCATGGAGCGAAGGGAGAAGTACTACATGCATTCGCCAAAGTCGGAGTCTGAGGTCATAGCCACAGGGGCATAACCTATGGCTCCATTCTGGGGTGGATGAGCATCCATTTGCCACCTATTTTGATATTCACCAGGGGTACAGGGTTTTGAAAAGCAGCCATATGGATATGCACACCATCATGGTGAACTTAGGTTCAGGCTGCAGTCGGCGTATGCAAACCCAGGCTGGGCAGACCAGTGTTCCGGCGGCTAGTGAGTCGCTCACACAGTGGCCCATAGACTCATAGACTGTCTCCTACTCGGAACATGCCACGTTTTGCCGGCGCTATTTGTTTTTGAACAGCCTCAATAATAAGCGGACATCAATCCCCCAAAAGTCATGTCCAGCAAAGCGAGTCCAACTGATATGTATATATATATATATATATATACACATTTTTATGCACACATATGCTCCCCCCCCCCAATATTTTCTAACCACGTATTTGGAAAGGAATTCGTACTTAGATTCTAGCTCAAACTCGACATTCAACATCGAATTGCATTGCAATGAACTTTATCAACGTCCTACTTGGAAAGGCATTCCCACTTAAATTCTAAATCAACATACGCATTCAAATTCAATATTGTGCTTCTTAGTTCTTTCAACTGTCTGTTTTTTCCCGAAAGCATGGCGAAGGGTTCTTCCGCTGGGTTCACTTGAGTTGTTCTCATGAGAGTCATTACAAGGTGTCATTGCAAGGAATCATCATCATGAAAGTCAATGCAAGGAGTCATTGCAAGGAGTCATTGCAAGGAGTCATTGCAAGGAGTCATTGCAAGGAGTCATTGCTAGGAGTCATTGCAAGGAGTCATTGCAGGAGTCATTGCAAGGAGTCATTGCAAGGAGTCATTGCAAGGAGTCATTGCAAGGAGTCATTGCAAGGAGTCATTGCAAGGAGTCATTGCAAGGAGTCATTGCAAGGAGTCATTGCAAGGAGTCATTGCAAGGAGTCATGAGAGTCATTGCGAGCTGCGCATGGAGTCAAGTGCAAGTTGCAAGTGCAAGGAGTCAAGTGCAAGTTGCAAGCGCAAGGAGTCAGGTGCAAGTTGCAAGTGCATGGAGTCAAGTGCAAGTTGCAAGTGCATGGAGTCAAGTGCAAGTTGCAAGTGTAAGGAGTCGAGTGCAAGTTGCAAGTGCAAGGAGTCAAGTGCAATTGACTTGCGAGGAGTTAAAATCTCTTCTTAGGGCGGCGGGGTAGTGCCGACGACACTACACGAAAATCGACCCTCTGCGGGGATCGGCGTGGTCGAGGTGCAAAAACTCATGGTTTTTTGCGATTTCTAAAGTTCCCGCGACCCTCTGCGGGGATCGGCGTGGTCGAGGTGCAAAAAACCCATGGTTTTTTGCGATTTCTGCGCTGCTCGCGCGACCCTCTGCGGGGATCCGCGTGGTCGCCCATGGTTTTTTGCGATTTCTGCGGTGCTCGCGCGACCCTCTGCGGGGATCGGCGTGGTCGAGGTGCAAAAACCGATGGTTTTTTGCGATTTCTAAAGTTCCCGCGCGACCCTCTGCGGGGATCGGCGTGGTCGAGGTGCAAAAACAGATGGTTTTTTGCGATTTCTAAAGTTCCCGCGCGACCCTCTGCGGGGATCGGCGTGGTCGAGGTGCAAAAACCGATGGTTTTTTGCGATTTCTAACATGCTCGCGCGACCCTCTGCGGGGATCGGCGTGGTCGAGGTGCAAAAACTCGAGGTTTTTTTCGATTTCTGCGGTGCTCGCGCAACCCTCTGCGGGGATCGGCGTGGTCGAGGTGCAAAAACCCATGGTTTTTTGCGATTTCTGCGGTGCCCGCGCAACCCTCTGCGGGGATCGGCGTGGTCGAGGTGCAAAAACTCGAGGTTTTTTGCGACTTTGGTTGTTCGAACTGGTCCTCGGGAGTTGTCTCGTGGTTCGCGCGCCTGCTCCCGGGCCGGCCGGTTGCGGGTTCGATTCCTCCCTGGTCCGCGGGCGGGCGTCGCAAGACGCAACTTGCATTTTAAAGCAAATTGCGCAGACCAACTTGCACCGACCAGTTTGCGCAGAGCGCCTTGCCTAGAGCAACTTGCGCAGAGCAACTTACGCAGAGCAACTTGCACAGAGCAACTTGCACAGAGCAGCTTGCACAGAGCAACTTGCAGGGAGCGCAATTTGCACAACTTGCGCAGAGCAACTTACGCAGAGCAACTTGCACAGAGCAACTTGCACAGAGCAGCTTGCACAGAGCAACTTGCAGGGAGCGCAATTTGCACAGAGCAACTTGCGGGGAGCCACTTGCAGGGACCAACTTGCCGGAGCAACTTGCGCGGAGCAACTTGCGCAGAGCAACTTGCACAGTGCAACTTGCGTAGAGCAACTTGCGCAGACCAACTTGCACCGACCAGTTTGCGCAGAGCACCTTGCCTGGTGCTGTCTCGCGCCAACTTGCACATATTGCAACTCGCACAGAGCAACGTGCAGGGAGCCACTTGCAGGGACCAACTTGCCGGAGCAACTTGCGCGGAGCAACTTGCGCAGAGCAACTTGCACAGTGCAACTTGCGTAGAGCAACTTGCGCAGACTAACTTGCACCGACCAGTTTGCGCAGAGCACCTTGCCTGGTGCTGTCTCGCGCCAACTTGCACACACTGCAACTCGCACAGAGCAACTTGCGCAAAGCAACTTGCGCAGAGCAACTTGCGCATGTGCCAGGCCGGGGTTAAACAAGTTTGCCGCACATCGTGGGGAGTTATGCTTTCAGGCCACTCACCCTGTAGGAGTTTGACGCAAGGAGTTCTCATCATGAAAGAAGTTGCGGGGAGCATGGCGCACACGGCTTATTTACGGGCATGGCGCACACGGCTGGTTGTTATGTGGCACCTTGCGGATGATCATCGAGATTTGGCTCAAACAGAAGTCATGGAGCTCGAAGTAGCTAGGCTTCAGGCTGGCGCGGCCGAGCATGGCAAAGCGTGGCTGCAGCAAGAGATGGCGGCCAAAGCCCAACCCCAACTTCGCGCACTCGCCCGACGGCTGGATGTGCGCCAATGGGTCGCAGGCAGCAACGTGACCAAGGCAGACCTAGCTGCCGCTGTCGTGGAGAAGCTGTGCCCGCAGGCCAGGCCACAGGCCAGGATCGAAATCTGGAGAGTTTTGCTGGTGTTTGTTTTGCTGTGCTGATTGTTGCCAGGAGAGCAGCTTGCGCAGAGCAGCTTGCGCAGAGCAACTTGCAGAGCAACTTCCGCAGCGTAACTCGCGCAGAGCAACTTGCACGGAGCACTTTGCGCAACTTGCGCAGAGCAAGTTGCACAAAGCACTTGTGCAGAGCAACTTGCGCGCAGGGCACGTGCCCAAGCAGCTGTTGCGTGCATATGTGCGTGCATGCGTGCGCGCGGTTGCATTTTTCTGTTGGTTTGTGTGTGTGTGTGTGCGTGTGTATGTGTGTGCGTTTGTGTTTGCGCTTCCTGCGGGTCTGTGCGTGCGTGCGTGAATGAGGAGCGAACTGTAATACTTGTTTTTTTGTCTGGCAAATCATGTTCTTTTTTCTGGCAAATGGGTGTGGGTGCGAGGACAGGTGCTGATGGCCAACATGGTCCAGCTGGTGGCACGAGCTCTGGTTCCTCGCAGTTTCCTCAACCTCCACGCGGAAGCCAAGGGCAGTCTGCGACTGCGCGCAGCACAGACGGATTGCGATCTCCTTGTGATCGGCAGCCACACTGCGCGAACTGGCGCCGTCACGAGAATGATTCGAAGCTCGGCTTGGGGAAGAAGCTGCAGTACCTCTTTCTCTACGCAGCGGAAGCCCGAAGTCTGACTTGCGTGCGGCACTACGTAGAAGTAGCACACGTAGTCCTCGGGAGTTGTCTCCTTTTATTTTGCGTGCTTTTTGCTTGCGAATTTGTCTTTGGCAATTGTCTCGTGGTTTGCGCGGCTGCTCTCCGATGTCGCGCGGTCGCGGGTGCGATCCCCGCCTGGTCCGCGGCAGCTCTGGCTGCACGCAGTTCCAGCTGAAAGTCGCAAATTTTAAGTGCAAAAGTAGTACGCGGAGTACATTCCCGCACCTCCAGCTCCAAAATCACAAGAGTAGTACGCGGAGTACATTCCTGCAGCTCCAGCTGCAAAACTTGCGCCGAGCAACTTGCGCCGAGCAACTTGCGCAGAGCAGCTTGCGCAGAGCAACTTGCAGAGCAACTTCCGCAGCGTAACTCGCGCAGAGCAACTTGCACAGAGCACTTTGCGCAGCGCAACTTGCACAGAGCAAGTTGCACAAAGCACTTGTGCAGAGCAACTTGCGCGCAGGGCACGTGCCCAAGCAGCTGTTGCGTGCATATGTGCGTGCATGCGTGCGCGCGGTTGCATTTTTCTGTTGGTTTGTGTGTGTGTGTGTGCGTGTGTATGTGTGTGCGTTTGTGTTTGCGCTTCCTGCGGGTCTGTGCGTGCGTGCGTGAATGAGGAGCGAACTGTAATACTTGTTTTTTGTCTGGCAAATCATGTTCTTTTTTCTGGCAAATGGGTGTGGGTGCGAGGACAGGTGCTGATGGCCAACATGGTCCAGCTGGTGGCACGAGCTCTGGTTCCTCGCAGTTTCCTCAACCTCCACGCGGAAGCCAAGGGCAGTCTGCGACTGCGCGCAGCACAGACGGATTGCGATCTCCTTGTGATCGGCAGCCACACTGCGCGAACTGGCGCCGTCACGAGAATGATTCGAAGCTCGGCTTGGGGAAGAAGCTGCAGTACCTCTTTCTCTACGCAGCGGAAGCCCGAAGTCTGACTTGCATGAGGCACTACGTAGAAGTAGCACACGTAGACCCCGGATGTAGGTCGTGCCAAAAAACGGCGCGTGACTGGGCTGCGAAGACTAACAAGGTTTTGCCGCCCGACGTGGAGGGTTTCTTCCAGAGCCACGGGCTGTAGAGTTTTTGCTGCAGGAGGCAGTTGGATTTGACGCGGACTGTGCGGACAACCTCGCTTGCGATGTTCTGCTTTCAGGCCAACCGTGGTCTAGTTTTTTTCTTCAAATCTCATTAAACATGAGTTCACATTTGAATCAGAATTGTACATCATATTTGAATTCTTCCCTTGTTAAGCTAAATGCGTGGACAGGATGTCTTTTTAGATTCTAATTGTGAAAAGTGGAATGGAACTCTTCCCAAATCAAACTCTATGTATGTTCTTTTTTTAGCATCATATGTGGAAAGGACTTTCTCTTTAATTTATCATTGAACATAGACATCACAATTGAACTATTTGCTGTTTACAGTCTTTTTAATTTAGAGCCTCCGGCTCAGTCCGCCGACATTGACCTCTCTCAGGTCTCCCCTCCGAAGAAGGCAACGTGTCTTGAGAAGCGACAAAAAGGCGCAACCGTCCCTTGTTCAAAGAGGGTACTCTGTCGAATCCTGTAGGCGCTTTGAAAGCGTTTCGGATCAGGGTATGAAGTCCATGGGTCATGTAAGGGTCACGTACTAAACGGGAACCTCATGTGAAAATATGGGGCCTTGAGTCAGGCTTGCTCCGATTGGGTAGGCAAGTGGCCATGGGGGATGAACGCGCAGCGGCTGTGGGTGGCGCGCACAAGCTTGCAGCTGGAGCAGCGGCGCAGCGGGGCGGCGCGGCTCCGGACGAGTTTTCCGGACGCTTCGGGCCTTGGACAGCGAGTCACGCGAAGCTCGAAAAGCACGTCTCATTCCCCCCGCACATCTTCTGACTCTCCGTTTCCTGGCTTCCCAGACGTCCTCTCAGCTGCGAGTCCCCGTCATCCCACATACGATCCGTATCTTTCTATTTTAGGTCAGGGTCTGACACTCTTTGAGTGTGTCCCGACATCCTCTCATGTCCCGTAAGCCACCAGAGAGGCAGGGGGATCAAGGGACCCTCTTCCTCCAAACCCGCTCCCAGATTGCCGCGCGGTTTTGTAAGGTTGAGTGCAATGAGTGCACGCGTGTCGCTCTGACACGCTGGAGCTTGCCTTTCCAACAAGTTTGGGGAAAGGAGGAGGGGGAATTGTGCGCCTGTGCCTGGCACAAGCTGGGCCACTCACAACTGGAGACGCATGATTCTGGTTCTAGGGAAACATTCTGGTGGCAACGCGTTTTTCACGACGTTGACCAACGTCTACAACAAAGCTTGACGCGACAGTTTTTGCACAGACTGCTCTGAAGAAGCAGTCGTCTGGATGAAGGAGCTTTTGATGCCGGGCAACACGGCTGAGCTGGGGTCGCACTCTTGCAAGACGACTACCTGCAAGACCAATGTTGACAAATCCATTGGGCTGGCTGTTGTGGGGGGGGGGGGGGGAGTTGCGCCAGATTTTCGTTTCTAGAAGCTGTTTTACAAGACTAGGGATGGGGTTGCTTGTGACGTGACGCATTTTTGTATCAGCCTCAAAGGAGTGTCCATAAAGGCTTGATACGGAGCCTTTAACGGAGCTTTATAACAGCTGGGGTCAAGACTTAAACAACAATAATTACATTCTAGTTAGCATCGAATGTCCAGTTCACTGGTCACACCCCTTCACTGCGGCTCCAAGATGGCTTGATCATGGCCAAACCTGCTCAAAACAGGGATAAGCTAAAGAAAGGAAACAGGAGCGACAGCAGAAACAAACCAAACAACCTCGAGAAAAACACATCTTTGAAGATAAGTTTGGGTTTTGCCAATCTTTTTTTGTATTCTGGAGTTTTTTTTTGCTTTCTGTAGGTTCCCCAGTTTTTTGGTTGTTTTTTTGGTAAGCGCCGAAAGAGCTCGATGTTGTTTTTGGGTTTGTCGAGTTTGATATTGCTCGTGGTTTCCATCAAATATATCTTAAAGCCACAACACATCGGGTTGTTTTTGGTTTTTACTCACAAAACAAGAGACTGAAGAACGCCCCCCAAAAAGAACAAACACAACCTTGAGAACACCAACAAGCACAATAATTTTGGCAACATCAAACTTCTCCTCAGGTTAGTCTGGTTACCACCAAACACAAGACAACTTTTTTGCCTTATGGATGACCTTTGTCGATTTTGATTCTTCGTCTCCACCTAAACGACGAAAGTTGCTAAAACACTGTGCCATATACGGCAGGAATGGCCAGTGAAGTCTTGCAACGGCCGTGCAAAGGCCATGGCAGTGACAAGTTACAGGACAGACCGTTTGTGCAGCTTCCTTGGGATTGCGGCGCTCATACAGTGGCCGAGCACGGAGTCCCGTTCGCCGCCCACGACTTTGCTCAAGAAGGTCCTGGGCTTCAGGACCGTGACACTGGTCTCAAGCCAGCGCTGGTTATATGCCGGGGAGAACAGTTGGAGAAACACAGAGTTTGTGGACAGCACAGAGTAGCCGAACACGCCTAGGAAGAGGAGTGTCTCCTGCCTCAGGGGTGCTGGCTCAGCAAGAGACTGCGCAGGAGCAGGTGGTAATGGCTCTCGGCCTGCGTCGTTTGGGTCGAGGTAGAAATTCCCTCATGTTTCAAGTGTTTGTGCCTTGGGTCCCATTGCTCAAGAGAAATGCTGACGACCCACTGGTCATCTGGCTGGGTAGACAAACACGAACACCTTCTGCGCACGGCGAGGTGGGCCCGGCATGCCTACCATTGCGACCTGTGAGCTTGAAGAGCTGCGCACAGACGTCAAGCTCAATCGACGCTGCTTGACCTCCTCCTTGGCCCTCTCTACCTTCCATTCCGCCTCCGGGAGCTTTTCTTCGTCTCCGTTGCCAGCTTTGTCAGCGCCACTCCGGTGGCACTTTTGATGTCGAGGACTGGTCGGCAGTGGTGGAAGCGGCTCCTCTTGCAGAAGCTTCCCGAAATGGAGAGCTTTGAGGAAGTACTTGGACCCTTGGTCGAAGTGCCGGAACTTCAAGCCGACCGGAGCTTAATGAATTGAAGCTGCTTTCGGGTCCTGAAGAGGACCGCGTGTTCTGTGCACGAGTTGCGCATGATTCCGACGAGAGCCTCTCCAACCGACAGGGGACACATGTTATTATGTTTTTGATATACGTAAACATTATACACATGTGTCAGTTTTTTTTTTTCTCTCTCTCTCTCTCTGTGTCGGTGTTGCTGCTTGCAAGTTGCCTGCTCGACCCCTGCGAAGGCACCCGGCCTGCTGCGAAGATTGCCCAGGAGCAGGCCAAGGCGCACGCTTGGCTGGCGGCTGCTGTGGCTGGCTGTGGCTCAATCCCGGCGCTTTTTTTTCAAGAAAAACGGCAGCTTCTGACTTTACCTGTTTTGAAATTCGCAACAAACCGGGCCCAGCGTCACACCCAAAGAGAATTCCTGGTGCTTGAAGCTTGCCTTTTTCAGAAAGGAACGTGGCCGGGATTTGTGGTCACCTGGAGTCTGCCAAGGTTCGCTACTTCTACAGAGGGCATGACCATGCTTTCACCCTCAACGAGCTTCGCCCTTGGCGTCAACAGACAGTCGACTGACAAGTTTTTTGCATTTGCTGCATCTCGTTGGACAAGATGTTGGTCGCTAAGGACGAAAGACTTCTTCTTCAAGCTCCGCGAGAACTGGCTCATCCAGCCCTTCACTCAAACCAATCTTGACTGGATACAAAGCCTTCCTTGCAAATACCAAGGCACTACCCTGGCATCCAGTATCCATTTGTTCATCGCTGGAAACTCAAGCAAATTGCTTGATTCTCTTGCATGTGTGTGTTGTGGGTTGTGGGTAGCGCGTAATGTTTAGGGTATTTTCCCTTGTGTTTAGGAAATTTTTGTATATCTGTGTGTTGCGCATTGTATGTGTGTGTGTGTGTGTGTGTGTGTGTGTGTGTGTGTGTGTGTGTGTGTGTGTGCACGTGCTGTATTTTTGAGTTGAAGGATCCAAGCGACCTACGCTGCATGCTTCGTGCTCCAAAGTTCACACGCAGAACCATTCCACGTTTCATGGAGCTACAGGTCAGATGATCCCGGAGAAGACCGCCGAGCCACTGAAGGCTCGGCGCTGTGATTGAACCAAACGGTGATTCCTTGGTTGCAAGCAAAGCGATGTACGCGTGTTTGCTAGACACGTCAGGATACTGTTCCCTGGGATTCATCCACAAAGGGGTTTCAAAGGTCTTTGTTTGGACACCAGCCCCCCCCCTCCCTGCCAACTTCCACGCGCAAAAACATCCACAGGTGCCGACTTCGGATCCTCTCCTTCCTGGCCAAGGCCACTGAGAGGCAGGGACTTTCTTCACTGGGTGACCTGAGACGAAGGCCCATGAAGCGCAAATTGGCGTATGTTGACCCCCAACCAAGGCTGTTTCACTTCGGTTTTTCTGACATCAAGTTGTAAAGTTAGGCAATCAAAAGGCGAGCAAGACGCCCCAAGTCTCGTCCCGAGAATCTGGCGCCGCGCAAGGTGCCAGTCCGGAACGGGCAGCGAGACCGAATAGGCAAACGGTCCAGCTGAGCGAAACGGTTTCCTACGTAGCGCATGTATTATCACTCATAGTTCATCTCTGCTTTGATGTGCTTTGTTCATGGTTTGTCCCGCGCTTCCTTGCTTGGATTGCTGACGTGGCTATTGTCTATATAGCGCAAAAAGAGGCGTGTGGGTCTTGGAAGGCAGTGTTTCTTAGCATGTTGTTGGGTGGCATCCTGCTGGGCATCTTTTGTTTGTTTGTTTGTTTGTTTGTTTGTTTGTCTTTTTGTTTTGTTTGTTTTGTTTGATGGTGTGTTTGTGTGTTTGCTTGTTTGCTTGTTTGTTTGTTTGTTTGTTTGTTTGTTTGTTTGTTTCCTTGTGCGTTTTGTTTTGCTTGTTTGTTTGTCTGTCTGTCTGTCTGTCTGTCTGTCTGTCTGTCTGTCTGTCTGTTTGTTTGCTTGTGTGTTTTGTTTTGCTTTGTTGGCTTGTTTGTTTGCTCGCGTGTTCTATTTTGTTTTGCTTTGTTTTGTTTTGCTTTGTTTTGTTTTGTTTTGCTTGCTTGCTTGCTTGCTTGCTTGCTTGCTTGCTTGCTTGCTTCCTTCCTTCCTTCATTCCTTCCTTCCTTGTTTGCATGTGTGTTTTGTTTGTTTGTTTGCTTGTTTGCTTGTTGGTTGGTTGGTTTGTTTGTTTGTTTGTTTGTTTGTTTGTTTGTTTGTTTGTTTGTTGTTTGTGTTGGCTTGTTGACTTGTTGGCTTGTTGGCTTGTTGGCTCGTTGGCTTGTTGGCTCGTTGGCTTGTTGGCTTTTTGCGTTTTTGGCGTTTGGTTGTTGGGTTGTTGACTTGTTGGCTTGTTGACTTGCTGGTTAGTTGGTTTGTCGGTTTGTTGTTTTGTGTGTTTGGAGGTTTCTTGCTTTGCTGGTTGTGGTTGTTGTGGTTGTTGTGGTTGTTGTCGTCGTGGTCGTGGTCGTCGCTGTTGTTGGCACTGCGCCTGCAGATGATTTTTCCTCATGCCTGGTGGACATACAAGCATCACTCCTGTGTGCTGCATGTCACGAAGCCGTCTGCTGCTGACATGGTGCAACAACAGAAGCAAACAGAGGCAACATCAGCAGTGACAGTAAGGACGAGATTTCGGCTTAATCACTGACACAAGTGCGTGCACGCGAATTGCCATGATCTACCGAAGGACTGTGCAGTGGACTGCTGACGGCTTGCCAAGAGTGTGTGACCAGGAGTCGAACGTCAAGATGTTTGTGCGCTTTGTTGCTAGCAGCGCCCAACTCAGACTTGTGCCGTAAGTGTTGTTTGCTCCTGATGTTCGATATGTTTTCGAAACAGAAGGCCCCGGCTAGTAATCCTATAGCCAGATTTGGAGGGGTCTCTCTTTATTAATTGGAACTAAGCCCTGGCTCCATGCCTGATCACCGCCGCAAGATTTCGCACCTGCGCATTGGTGCACTCATGAAAGGTTAAAGGTGTTCGCGGCTGTACACGAGGTCATTCCGTGTACCTTTCATCAAGTTCTTTTCACAGGCGGATGGCAGATTCACCATGCGAGTTTTGCTGGCATGCCGGTTGGCTTGTACGTCTGGTACTTGCATGTATCTGCCAGGTCCCCGCAAGTCTGACAGCTTGTTCCTCGACCGCATGCATGCAAAATGAGCTAGGGCTAGCCGCCGCGATGTGTGAGCCAAGGCAAGGGTCGAGACATCGCCTTGCACGTGCGGCCGAGGTCAGGTTTCCGGACTTATGCTCAAGCTGGTGTTTTGGTTGGTCAAGCCAGGAGCAAGTACCAGAGTTGCCACCCTTCCAGCGCTTGTGGGGCTCCAAGATCATTGAGAGCTCCCTTTATCCAAGCATGAATGCCTCGACCAAGTCCAGAAGACTACGAACCAGACCCCTTGGATCGCGTGATCGAGTGCTTGCCTAAAAGCAATGCAAATGCTTCAATCTCCAGACTTCCGTGCATCAACATTTAAGACTACCTTTGGTTCCCATCAGCTTCTGCACGTTTGATGCAGGCTGTGCAGCTTTGTTTCAAGCAGGGTCGGAGAGCTCACTAAGGTGGTTCATGGGGCTGGATCCGCAGACCAACCAGATCTTGGAGGGCATTTTTACCCTTGTGGCCGCTGACCTCAGAAGTTGTGACATTGAAACTTCAGCACTTTTTGTCCTGCCAAGCAAGGTACTTGGAGTTACAGTCCTCAGCGCGAAGGCACACATGCATTGGCACTGCCAGATTTGATGGTCATTGTCAGGGCCCGGGGACGTGAGTCGAGCTTGTTCTTGGGAGGAGACCTATGAGAAGTGGCAAAAAGAAAAGGAACAGGAGCCAATGCGAGGGGCAGTGCGACAAGTGAGAGAAGCTCGATGAGAAAGCATGGATGATCAAAGAATCAGAGCACTGGCAAGACCTGCAGTCTTTATGGTCTGTTTTTGGGTAAATACCAGATGAGCCAATTTGGTCGCAAATTTGTGGGATCTATTCCAGACGTTGAATCAATTGCAATCTGCCATCACAGACCACAAAGATCGAGGCGGCCATCACGCATCCATTCTTTTGCCATGTTATGAGGAGGATGAGCTGAAAAGACAAAAGATCAGAAGAGCTTTGAATCCAGACGGATGGAGGCGGCGAAGAACCCAAGGGCCTTTGCACATCGGGTGCTAGAAAAAGCTTATCTTGAGAAGCTTGAGTGCTGCAGTCAGGGAAGAACTTTTCAGGGAGGACCAGGAGGAGAAGCGTTTGAGGGAGTTGGAAAAGAAGAATGAGAAGAAGAGCAAAGTAGCGGTTGCAGCCTGAGCGGGGAAGTGACCACTGTTTTGTAAAAGGGTGCATGGCTACAACCCAAATTTCCCGCAACAACCAGGGGAATTTTCCGTGTTCTCTTGGGAAACATAGACATGTGAGCAGCTTTTGAACTACAATCGAATGCTTCTGCATGAGCGAGAGAAGATTGCCAGAGAAAATATAGTGTGAGCCTAAACAACTTGCATATCATTTCAATTTCGGCTGAGGATGTATTGGAGGAGATTTATGGAACTGACGGTCTAGAAGACAAGTGCGGCCCCTACACTTGAGCGAGGGCACGCAAATGGACAGTTGCTGGACGTTCAGTAATATCAGGGTCACTGTTTTCTTGGCTACGCTTTATTGCATTGTGAGGTTCAATGCGCAGAGTGCAGGCAGGGTCGGTGCACAGTTGCAACGCCTTTCCTGATCATCTCCGGTTTCTGTTTTCTGGCTTTAGGCTTTCGGGGTTTGGCTTCTTGGGCCACATCATCTCACCATTCTATGTTGTTGACTTTGCCTTTCAGATATGTGCACGCAGGCCACATGCCAGCGGGTGCTCAATGCAATGTGTGGGTGGGCAGGCCACCATTACCCTTCCATGAAATAAGTGAATGAGCTGATGCAACAGAACAGGAACCACGGCGAGCACATGTGCAGCTTTCTAGCTTGTCTGCGTTCTGCTTGGACGCACCGCGATACTGTTCTCACATTCTGGCCACGACAAAATGACCTGAAGCAATATGCCTTCTTTCATTAATCTGTATTGCGCTGCAAGGCTTCTTTTCGGCATCTGACACCGTTATCAAGAAATCCAGCCTCATGCCATGCCTTGCTTCTTTCTTGTCCTGGTTCCATTTTTTCCGCATTCCCAATTTCTCTCCACCCTTTGAAAAAATGTGTGCGCCATTTCATGCTACAACCTAGCCTGGTACTGCTTTGTAGCCTGTTTCTTTCGATTTCAGTTCATGTCATTTCATTTCATGTTATTTCCTTTCATAGTGGTTTCATTTCATCATTTGATTTCATGTCCTTTTCGTTTCATTTCATTCATCTCATTCCATTTCATTCTGTTCATTTCAGCTCATTTCCCTTCATTTCACTTCATTTCAGTTCATTTCACATCATTGCCTTTTGTTTGTTTTTTCTTTTACTCAGCTCGCTTCATGTCATGTCATATCACATCATGTCATCTAATTTTATCTCCTGCATTTGCGATTGTGGTATCAAAGCTCGCGCCCAACCAAGCCCTTCCGCACGCCAAATCTGAGGTCGACGGAGGCCTGCAGGAGCTTGTGAGCTCACTGTTTCAAAGACGAGTCCCCCCAAAAAAGACAGACACCGATGCTGAAATGGCTGTGGTTGTCAAAACCAATGGGATCCCATTTTGGGGTAGGTGCACCACCCATTTTAGAACCTATTTTAGTGGGGATTGGGATGTTCACTGGGGGAACGATTTGGATTTTGACCCATGGCCAAATTGGGACTGGGAAGCGGGCAGGAGGTGTCAAGAAGAGCTGAGGACAGCAACGAGCTTGTGCTTGACGAAAGCGGATCACGTGGCCGATCTCACTGCAGGATGGCCTCATTTGGACTTGCAGATCACAAAGACTTGATTCTGGCATTGGAAAACGGTGCGTGAAGCCTTGAGCACTATGAGAAAGGCTTGGCTGCACAGAGCTTTTCTCGACCATAGACTCCAGCGAGGTTCAAAAAAAATGCTTTTCCCACAGTGCAGACACCAAGAGGATGAGAACGCAGTGCCACCATAAGCTCGCCCAGCGGCAAACAGGCTGGCGCATCTTCAATAGAATTGGATGATGCTTTCAGCTTAGGGTTTAGGATGACAAGGCTCTCCCTTGGCAGACATAGGCAGCCATGACGTGCAGAGCTGTTCACGCTTTGCGCCCAAGGGCTCTGGTGCCGACTGGCAGACGCTTCTTGACATCGGCATCGCCGTGGGGCGCATCTGGGCGGCGCTTGCAGTGCATCGACTGCCATGCAGCCGGGGAACCTGCCCGCGTGGTGACTGGCGGCCTGCCCCACATCCCCGGTGTTTCCATGCGGGCAAAGCGCCACTTCATGATGCAACACCATGACTCCTTGAGGAAGTTGCTCCTCTTGGAGCCCAGAGGCTATCCATGTCAAAATGCGAATTTCGTCCTTCCGCCATCGCCGTCATGCCCCACAGCATCCTTTGGTGTTGTGATTGCAGAGCAGGGCTTCATATACCCAGCGATGAGCGGGCACAACATGATGTGCGTAGCCACCGCTTTGCTGGAAACCGGGATGGTGCCCATGTCTGAGCCCTTGACTGAGTTTGACTTGGAGACCCCGGCAGGGCTGGTCAGAATATCAGCAGACTGCAAAAATGGCAAAGCGCTGCAAATCTCCATCCAAAACGTGCCTTCCTTCTGTCGCGCTGCTGATATGGACGTCCTGATT